GGGGGGTACACGCCGCGTTAATTCTTTGAACGCGCGCGCAAAGTACAAACTTTCTCCGATTTTAATCTGTCACTTCTCGCACCGTATGCCCGATCCGCCTTCAAAGAGACGTCATGCTGCGGCGCCTGTCGCGATTAAAAAATGTATACAAATAAAATATGCATGCATTATAGCAATATTTACGCAGGTGTGTCGCTACGATCTTCTAGTTATTACTGGATTGCCATCCGGCAAAGTCGAGAAATACCTATGTAACGTGGAAGTTTTTAGGGAGATCGAGAATGCCACCGTCTACGTCTGTAGGACGCCGTTCAAAACTCACCAAAAGCAGCAATAGCAGAGAGGATCCTCTCTGGCAATAGTTCGTCTCTCGCTCGCTCGCTCGCTCGCGTCCCATCTAGTGTAGAGTGGGTTACCCACTCTATGGCCCGCGAAACTTACAGCGCATGAGCGTCGAAAAGGAACGCATCCGTAATTAGAATCAATTATTCAGTTATTAACAATTAACTGTGTGCTAATGACAGACATTAAACCGACAGTGTAATTATTTTCTTTATTAATATAGAAAACAAGCATAAATATTATACATTTTCTGGCCAATTATAAATTCAAATCTTTAACTTGAATCAGCGGCTTAATTCAATTATCGCGACAAGCCTAACCTAATCGAAAGAGTACGCTCACGTTTCGTTCGAAGGAATCTAACCTAGAAACGTCGACTGTTTTTTTTTCAGTGTCGAGCGATTATTTTAATTTTTCAAGACTTTGGTTTTCTTGGGATGAAGGAACGAGAGAGAGCCTAATGATTGTATTTTCATTAAAATCCAAAGTTGAATTGAAATAGTTTATCAGTCCTTAACAATGGGGGAAAAAGGGAGGTTATAATTGGAAGTCAAGAGCTTATTCCAGTCAATTCTTCATAATTTTAACGATTTATTTGTCGCAGGTTAGCAAGAGGTGCATACGGTTGTGCGTAAATTACGCAAAGCGTTTCCGTTGAAGAGAATTAAAAAACAGCCCCAAGTTAAAGTGGTAAACTCCGAGAAAAGTGGAACCTCAGAAGCACCGGATAAAGAACAGGACGAAAAAGACGCCGAGGAAGCGTTGCGCCGTAATAAACAGAGGCAAAAGAAGCAGATCATACTTCCAACTATTAATCTCGACGAGTATGTGTATCCGTACTGCAATTCTTTTACTGTTCCATGTGTTTTTCTAAAATTTATAAAATATATTTATGTTTAGTTATTCAATAAATCCTACCGATGACACGCACGAAGATTTGATCAACGCGCAGTACGACGACGGCGACAACAGCTTGGAGGATGAAGATGTGATTGATTTCATGAGACTGACGAACGCGCAGCCATTATGGGTCTTACCTCTTTATTCCCTTCTACCCGGACACAAACAAGCCAGAATAAATATACAGTATAATAAATTAATTGTGATTCTTTTGACTATTAATCTCTGTAATAAAATTAATTGAAAGGATAGACCTGTTTCACACGATGGACACACGAATTTTTCAGCTTATAGATTAACATGGAAAACGAAGGATTTCAAAATGTTCAAATGCACGATTGTCTAAAACGTATCGTTATCAACTTATTATAAACAAGAATTAAATAACTTGGAAATGAGACTAAGTATGAATAAGAATAATAGTTTATTTTAAAGTAAATATAAATTTTGCTACATCTCGACACTCATCCCGCAATTTACACGTATAAAGATTTTAAATACTCGTCGGTCGTGTACGACGTGTACAAGGAGTACAGCCAGAGGAAACCAGTGGACGATTTGCTGCTGCAGATGAACATAGACAAGGTCGTAAGCTTTCCGTTTTCCATACCGCTGGATATCGTGCAATTGAAGTCCCCAGAGAACGATACTCGAAGAAGCAGGAAAGTAGTCGAACGTAAACATTTGTTATTTTTTAGTGAAGATTTTCTTGTTCAAATTGCGGAGGATTCATGTTCCTGTAAAGACAAAGTGGTTTGTTATAATGAAATACAATAATTATAATTAAGAAATGAGAATACTTACGCAATCATGTTTAATGCCATGGCAGTATCTTTATGCATATTTATTACCCTGATTAGTATATCGGCCCTCAAAATTCTTGAATTGATACCTCGCTCACTGTAAAAATTCGTCAAAAAT